TTTTTGGGGGGGGGGGGGTGAGTGACTGCGTATCGCAGCGGTGTCAAACTCATTTTTGTCGCGGGCCACATTGTAGTTACGTCTTCCCTTGCAGGGCCATTATGAATTTTGGGAAAGCATCCAAATGTTGAATCACCTCCACATATTACATATACAGCACACAACACATTGTTGAATAACTCGTTTTAAAATCAGAAGTCAAGAATAATGACTGCTATTGTGGATTACAACTGACAATTTGACATTTTGGTTTAGCAAGCATGGAACTTGACATGCTTGATTTGCTTTCGTGGGCCACGTAAAATTATGTGGCGGGCCAGATCTGGCCCCCCGGGCCTTGACTTTGACACCTGTGGCATATAGCATACCCCGACCTGTTTAAATCAGGAAACTGGTTGTTTTTTTAAAAAAATGTTGATTCTTTTCTCTTTCAAATTCATCATCGCTCTCGAACCAAACAAAAGCCGAGTTTATCTGGAATTCCCCTCCAAGTCATCCATGACCACAACTGCTCCTCAATGGTGGGGGGGAAGTTATTTCGAACCTTGGATTCAGTTTGTATTCAACAGCCTGAAGGCTCATCCGAAGGGCTCTCGAGTGGACAATTCAAGTCCGTGTATTGGATATGAAGATTCCATCTGAGAAGTGTCACAATGTCGCAAACAAGAATGTCTTTTGTGTTTCATGCCGAATGGAAGCACGCGGACATCGCCTTCCAAGAAAAGAGCTCCTCTCTTTATGTGGTGAGCTGTTTTTGTCGATTGCATTTGTCTCAGCTGTGCCATCAACTGACGGGAAGTGAAAAACATCCTCCTTTCTTTGAGCGTGCAGGACTTCCTATGGCATCCAGAGGCGAACAACTCGATGACGGAGCGTTTGGTCTCATGGACACGCGTAAGTGAGCACGTTCTCACCTTGCGGCAAGTCGGCCGGCCGCAACATTTTGTAACGTCTGCAGTGTGGTGCGTTTCAGGAAGGCTCAGCGAGGCCCGATGTCGTCATCCTCGGTGCCGCAACGGTACGTTTGTTGAAAAGCCCCGGCGGCGCGCGAGTTGGGTCTTCAACCCTCTCCGTCGTCTTCATTTACCGCAGTGGTCCATCAAACTGCACGGTGGCAGCAGTGAGACTTTGAAGCAGTACCAAGTCAACGTGAGCGCCATGGCCGTGTACCTGGAGAGGCTGGCCCAGCACGGAGAGGTCTACTGGGTCCTACAAGGTCACACGTCCAATACAATTTAAGGCTTGAAATATGATCCGCTGACTCGTTGCTTCACCACAGTGATGAATTTCCCATCGCCCTGTACCCGTAACTGCCACGCGCGGAGCAAATTCGACATCGATTGCTCGTTTAATACCCGCAAACATGCAGTCAACCTGCACAATCTTCCCCTCCAGAACCAGTCAACGAGGAGCTGCTGAGAAAGGACCGGAAGGTGATCACCAATCACCAGTTGGAGCTCTACAACAAAGCGGCGGTGGACGCGCTTGATGCCGCTAAGCGGAACAACAGGTCGTCGGTGAAGCGACTGGCCGCCTCACGCAAGGCGGCGCTGGAGACCATCGGCCAATCGGACGACGGGCTGCACATACCCGAAGGTGCCAGAGATATTGTAAGTTCATTCAGTCGTCGTAAAGAAGTTTGTTTGTTCTTACACACGGGTAAAATTGATGGGGGGGGGGGGACAAGTCATCATGAATAAGCATTTATTGATCAGAAATGCATTTGAATTGTGGCTCAATAACTTTTTAGAAAACAAGCTCATTATGCAGGACTGGAAAAAAAAAATGGATAGCGCCCCGAAAAGAGATGGAAACCCGTTTGACAGCATCACAGGGGTCTTCAAAGTCGCTGTTCAGTCAATCGGCCTATTGAAAGGAGGTGAAAAGCTGATTGATGAGATGGTGTGCGCCGCACTAAACGTGGACCAGAGGAAGCGAAGAAGCGAGGAGATGAGAAAGAAAAAAAAAAGAATGACAACACTTGCGACTGGCTGGATCCAGCCCCCCGCCCCAATTCAGCTCACCGGAGTATCGCTGCTCTGTTTTAGGGGGCCATGGTGCTGATGAACGCCTTGTGCAACAAGCTCCACAGACCCATCGACGGCTCCTGCTGCCAGACGGTGCCGTCGCCCAACCTCCTGCAGAAACTGGCCGTGTGCTTCTTTGTGGCCTCGGCCCTCGTCCTCCTGGGCTTTTACGTCCTCGGCAACAACCGCCACCACCACCGGCCCGTGCCGCCGGACGTCGAGAGTCTGGAAGAAAAGAAGCCGGCGAGCGCCGCGGCCCCGCTGGGAGCCGCGGCGCTTTTCCAGGCCGTGTGCAAAATGGGCATCATCATGGCCTACTTTTATCTTTGCGATCGGGCCGACTTGTTCATGAAGGAGCACAAGTTCTACACCCACTTGACCTTCTTCATCCCCCTCATCTACATATTTGTACTGGGGGTGTTCTACAGTGACAACAGCAAAGAGGTACGGCCTTCATTTATCAGTGAGATGTCCGAATAGTGAAACGTGTGGCCTCCGTTTTGACTCACGATAAAAGACGAAGTTCCCGTTCCCTCCACGCAGACCCGATTACTGAATCGAGAGCAAACCGATGAGTGGAAGGGCTGGATGCAGCTGGTCATCCTGATCTATCACATATCTGGAGCCAGTGCGGTGAGTTCCTCACGTCTCGCATGACGTTTCAAGACTAAATCAGAATAATAAATCAATGTCGTGCCTTTCAGTTCATTCCCGTGTACATGCACGTGCGGGTGCTGGTGGCCGCGTACCTTTTCCAGACTGGCTATGGGCACTTTTCTTTTTTTTGGCTCAAAGGAGATTTTGGACTGTATAGAGTGTGTCAGGTGAGAACGCACGGGGTGGTCGGAGTCGCAACGGGGGAAAAAAAAAAACAAAAACAAATTGAATTTCCATTGCTATTGTTGTTTTCTGAATGAATCCTTCCTCTTCCTGCAGGTGCTTTTTCGTCTGAACTTCCTGGTGTTAGTCTTGTGTGTGGTGATGGACAGGCCCTACCAGTTCTATTACTTTGTCCCACTAGTCACCTTTTGGTTCGGCGTCATCTATGGCATGATGGTCATGTGGCCTCAAATCCTGCAGAAGAGGGCCAACGGTAAGCGTTTGGAGACGGAGGATGAATGATTTTGAAAAAGAATGGAATAGCCATTTAATGAGAGTGTTATTTTTGTTCTTGTGATTTTTTTTTTTCTTCTCCAAATTTTTTTTCCCATTCGAGTTTTAACAAACACAAGAAATAAATGTTAAAAACACAGTGAGGAATATGTAAGCATGCACTTCTTAAGCACCGAAACCTATCAAATTAAATAAAATATCCTTGACTGAAATGGAGTTGATTTGTTTTTGGGTTTTTTTTCTAAATTGGAGTCGTTGCAATTTGAAAATGACATTGAGAATTCTCTTTGAATTCGATCAACCGTTCCAGCCCGATTGGAAACTTTTAACCGTGTCACACTTTAAACTTAGGGTGGTCTTGTGTCTTGTGCAGCCAGCGGCATGTGGCATCTCGGCGTCCTTGTCAAGCTTCTGGTCCTTCTGTTGTTCATCTGCGCCTTGGCGTACTCACAGGTGAGCCAAATCTGCGCACATTGTAGCCTACTGCCAAATTCACATTAATCGCGCTGAAAACAAAAGTAGATTTTTTTTTTTTTTTTTTGCTGTGCATATTTGTTGACATGGTTGCACTTTGGAAAAAAACGTTCCGTCAGCCATGCATGCCATTTACTTCCTGAATGGCCCCACAAGGAGGCATCAGTGATTGGTATTGGTAACTAGTATCGGCAGCCTTTGCCTAGACTTTAATACCACCGTCTTCTATAGTGCGAAACGGCATTTGGAAATACACCAGCAATCAAAGTATTAACATCTTGATGAGTGAAAAAGATACATTTAGATAAGTGGTGCATGTGTTATCGATTCCCAAAGCAATTTTGGGTGAAGTTTGTCTTTGTGTCCGCAGGATTTCTTTCACGCCGTCTTCTCCTTTTGGCCCTTCTCCAAGCTCTTTGAAGTGAACGGAAGCGTCTACGAGTGGGGCTTCAGATGGAAGCTGGACCGATTTGTACGTTTTGATGTCGCGACACACTCATGCCTGCGGCATCTCATTTTCTAGCCGGCGGGGTCAAATTAGTTTGATTGCGTTGCGTGGCAGGCGGTGATCCACGGCATGCTGTTCGCCTTCGTCTACCTGGTGCTGCAGAAGCGGCAGGTGCTGTGCGAAGGCAAAGGAGAAGCTCTCTTCTCTGCCTGGATCTCCAGCCCGCTCTTCTTCCTCGCCATCGTCACCTTCGTCGTAAGAGCAGTTCGCCGCTTTGTACATTTCCATCTTGAGAACGTCCTGCGAACCTCAGTGAGGGCTCATGGTAGAACCGGGTCAACGATTCTGAGTTGTTTGATTGGAGATAACCACACCAATGACAATATACAACAAGGCAAACTGCACGTAAAAGTGATGGTAAAGTCAACACATAAAAATATATCAACTTAAAACAAAGATGTTTTTTTTTTTTAAGCAGGAGATTTGGGCTGCTCACGGTAAATATGGATGAGTTTCTCTATTTTCGTAAGGCGGTAGACGATTTGTAATTCTTTAAATCTTGTAAATGACACTGAATCCGCTCTTTGAAGGTCTTAAAATTTGTGACATGAACAACGTTGCTAAATTGAATTCAGAAAACTGAACTGGAGCATTTATAATTGGTCAGCAGTATGTCATTTGAATATCGCTGAAAAACTGATCACAGTGGCCCTTCAAAAGTCTTCTTAAACCTGCATAGCTTCATTTACTGCTCTGACGTACTAAACATTTTTTTCATGTTTTTTTTTTTTCACACGCACACAAAAGTCTTGTGTATACAGAAACTCGACAGCAACTATCCCACAGCAAATCTTTTCACCTCGCCTCACTCAAAACGTCAAGCACGTCAACACTTGTCTCCTCCCATCATTCCAGACATATTCCGTGTGGGCCAGCGGCTGCAAAAACAAATCGGAGTGTAACGAGATGCATCCTTACATCTCTGTCGTGCAGGTATCGAAAAGTCTCTGCTCCTTTTTTTTTTTTTTTTTTTTTGTTGTCATATAATGTCAACTTCAATTGACCTTTGCTCACACAAACAGATCTTGGCCTTCATCTTAATCCGGAACATTCCCGGCTACGCCCGCTCCATCTATAGCTCCTTCTTCGCCTGGTTTGGAAAGATCTCCTTGGAGGTGAGACTGTCTCACCGAGTGAGTTAAAAACATGAATGATGAAAACTGGAGTGGATATACAAAGTCGACACACCCTTAGCCAAATGCAAAGTTTTTGTGATTGTAAAAAAAAAAAAAAAAAAGAATTGAGGCTGGACTAAGTTTTGAACAGGAGTGTGTGGACTTTTTTAATGTATTTGTCTCATATAAAAATATCCGCAACTGACATTTTGTGAAAGAAGGAATGTCTGTATCTGTTAATGATTCTTGAGACTCCACATAGACAAACCTCTAATGGTCTCATCAGAGAATTTTACATCACATGAAAGAAGATCCTCCATGTTGACAGCGTGTACGAAACAGTACGACTCCATGACAAAGCCATTCGAAACCGCCCACATACTTGCCTGAACTCTTTTGTCTCCCCCAGCTGTTCATCTGCCAGTATCACATCTGGCTGGCGGCGGACACCAAGGGCATCTTGATCCTGATCCCCGGCAGCCCATCGCTCAACATCCTGGTCAGCACGTTCATCTTCGTGTGCGTCGCCCACGAGATTTCAGTCATCACGAACGACCTGGCCCAGGTGGTCATCCCCAAGGACACGGCGGCACTCCTTAAGAGGCTGGGGGGTTTCCTGGTCCTGGCAACGCTCACCCTTTTCATTGCCCGAGACCGTTAAAGCATGCCCGGGACCTGAGACTGGCGAGACGTGTCGTTCACCGAACACTTTTTTTTTTTTACTGCTGAGATAGTCGCACACTGAAGAACGATGCCCCTCTACGCTCACTCCCCCCCCCCAATTTTTTTTCCCCCCTCCTCTCACAGTAAGTAAAAGGTAAACTTGACATTGCAAAAAGGGAGGGGCGGTACATTTATTAAGAACAACAACAACGAAAGGTCCATTTGCTTCAGAACTTCTCATTCAGAACCGAAGCGGCCTCTCAACTCGCCGTCCACATTGACTGAACTCGAAAAAGAAAGAAAAAAAAACAAACGCGAGCCTTCTGCTTCCTATTTTCATCATTGTGTTGTACAGGACTGGAATTGAACGATGGACCAACAAGTCGCTCTTTTGATCAAAACTCAGTCTACCCCCCCCCCCCTTTTTTGTTTTTCGTGAGTAGTCCTGTGCTAAAAAGGTACTGTACTGTGTCACCTGCTGTAGCGATGAAATATGTTATATGTACAGTATTTAATTATTTAAAATGAAGTGTATATTTTATACTCGGTACTTTTTGCGCACCCGCGAAGTGAAGAAAGTGAGTCGATCCGATCGATGACACGTTTTTGACTTTTTGGTTTGTTTATAATCTGCCTCTTCGAGCTGTGGTGAAGAAACATGCACTGGTTGGCCAGCACGACAACGAACATCCTGCTACAAATGAACTCCCATTCGACATGCAGCTTTTTTCCCCACGACTCCATACACGTGAGTAGCCACCAACACCAACTGACTGGGCGAAAAAGGCTACTTGCTGATATTTTATATTTGGGTGTTTATTTTTGTGGCCTGCCGTCTCCTACGCAGGATTTAGCACTTTTATTTAATGACACTCATTGCTAACAATGAGTCCACGCGCAGCTAATTGTCTGGACTGAAGCAGGTTTGTATCGAGAAAATCACCAGACGAACTTGTGATCTACGGGCGTCACTGCAAATGAGTTGCATTTAGTATTTGGAATGAGAAGGCGCGATGCGAGCGTCAAGTCGCCGCATTCCTCCAAAAATTGTTGAGCCTTGATGTCATTTAAGATTTGAACCCAGCGGTTTCCGGATTGTGGTACTTTGGCACTCTAGCCTTAATTGTTCCATTTTGGTAGTATAAAAGCAACAAGTATTTATACTCTTTGAAATATGGTACACATTTTTTGTGATGTCTTAAAATGTGAAATGTATCCACATTTATAAATGCCTTCACTATGATGTACATCATGATCACCTCATAAAATGTGCAGTTTTGGCTCCCGTTGTCTGAAATAGGTTGTCCTTATTTCCTCTTGGGCCAGAAAGAGCAAAAAGAATTCATTGAATGATTTGACTAATGTGGACCCAACTGGATGTTGCTAATCACCCTGACCACCTTCTTTTAAACTGCTCTTCTTTTGGGGACAATATCGAGTTCCGCAACGTGTGTGTGTGTGTGTGTGTGTGTGTGTGTGTGTGTGTGTGTGTGCGTGTGCGTGCGTGTAAGAGAGAGAGACTGTTTTTTTTTTTTTTTTGAAAAAAACGACCAAAAAACGCCTTACTATACTATGTCGTTTTTTTCGGGGTAAAAACGCCTTACTATACATGGTCGTTTTTTTCGAGCTAAAAACGCCTTACTACACAATGTCGTTTTTTTTTTCGGCTAAAAACGCCTTACTATACATGGTCATTTTTTTCGGGCTAAAAACGCCT